CCTTCTTGCCCCTGCCTGTTTATGCTGGGTTGCAGGTGGGATATAAAAATTAAATTAGAAAAATGCGGCATTGACGCAAGGCTTGTTTCCTGGCGTAACCTAGGAAGCAGAGAAATTGCTACAGCGCAGGGCAAATCTCATTTGGGGCTCTCTTCCCCTAGCACAGTTTTCCAGTTTTGCAGACATTACTCAGTAATGTTCAGGAAGTCATAGATAACTAAATTTTCATTTAAAAATATATGCAATCCTGGATATTTAAAAGTATTAGTCTTTGCTGATTTTGACATAGCCTGCTGTTAGCGTCTGACGTGGAAGGCTCAAGGCTAGCTCCAATACTGTTTTCCTCATTATTCATTTTCAACAATTTTAAATAAAGTGTTAAAGGACCAGTTTGAAGCATGTGGCTTATAAAACTGGAGTTAGCCCAAATATCTTGTGCTAATGAGTAATAATATGGTAAAGGCTGCAAATTATGTACACAGCTGTTCTCTTTCATAAGTAGTGAAAAAACAACATTGGTTTTTAGTATTTTAGACCTGTAGGTCCCAAGCTGGATTTACTGCTGAAGTTCTGATGTGTATAAAGTAAGGAGACACTTTAGTTGTGAAATAGATTATTTAGCGTTCCCCCCAGGCTGCCATGGGCTGGAATACCCCCGCCCCCTTGTTTATCCAATAAAACCTCTGGTCCAGATGTAGTACAGCTCCTTACATGTGAGAAGGGAATGACTCAAAAGGCTTTCTGTGTAGGGTTTCTAGATGGATGAGCAGGTGGTGATAATTTCGCTACTCTGAGCTTCTTTTTCTCCTTAGCTGTAAAATGGGCATTGCAAGGTACAGATTGGGAAAAGTATGTCTGAGCACAGAGCCTGGCATTTAGGAGAGGCCCAGTGTATTCCTCTATTGCAAATATTAACATTTTGAGTAAAGAATCGGCATTGTGGAATGCTCCTGTGCTCTATATACAAGGTCTGTTGGAGCTGTGCTCTCAGTTTACACTGGAGAAGATGAAGCTGAGGGTCTTCAGATGTGTAGGTAATTTGCCTGCAGTGGATCTTGTGGCAGGTAGAGGTTGGTGTGGATGGGAATCTGCTGGCTTTCCTGCCGTTTCCTCATTCTGTCTCGCTGCTGCCTAACAGCCTGCCTCCATGCAGCTTCATGGCCTGCTGTTCTTCGTCAGACTCCTGGGGAAATGACATTGTGGGGACAGAGAAGTGTGCAGGGAGAATGCTTTTATATGTCAACCCCAGGAATGTGGTGAGGCGACAAAAGGCATATTTTCCCTTCTGCCTCTGCACCGTGGTTAGAGGACAGACCCTTGGCAGCCCTACTTACCCTGTCCTTCAAGCCTGTCCCCATCACTCACCACTGTCTCTCGATTCTTGGTTTCTCTCCTGTGGACCTGGTGGTGGACAGCATCCCCTTACCCATCTTGTTGCTTCCTGACTATTCTTCCCATCAACAGGCTACGGCTCACTGTACCTTGCTGTGCTGTGCTGAGCCCACTTTACCCTCTCTAATCCTCAGAGATGACAGTCCCTTCCTCGCCATCACTGACTCCACCCCTCTTTTCATTCTTAGAGATTTCAGTCCCACATGTATGACCCTTACGACACGCTGACCTTTCTTATGTTTATCTCCTCTTAGGATGACTTCATTGACCAGTCCATCTCTACCTGCCCTGCCATGGGCGTACACTTGATCTTCTTATTACAAATTGCTGCAAACATAATCCTCAGTCAGTTCTCAATACACACTTTGACCACTTTTCTAGTCGTTTCTTCTGCTCTTGTACTTCCACCAAACTGTCGACCCCACTGGGCTACATGGCTCATTATTTCTGCCACCTTTCCTCTGTCCTCCCTGCCTGTCTGTCCCTCCCATCCTCATGAGTTTTTCCTCTCAGATTTTTTTCATGTATCCAGTGCAACCCCAAAGCTGGTTAAATCCAACTTTGTGTCACTTCTTGTGAATACTCATGCAGTTTACTGTGTTGCCTCCAACACACAGCCATGATGCCCAATCTCACTTTAAACTCATGCCCTCTCACTTTAGTATCCGGATTGTTTAGGCTGCCCCACATCCTCAGAGAAGCCTATCTTTTTCCTTCTCTGGCACCCACACCTTCTTTTCCATGCTTACTCATGCAGGTGAGCTAGCTCCCCACATCACGGAACATTGGTATGAACATTGCAAATACATACCTCCACAGCTACACCTGAGTGTCTGCACTTGTGTGCGCTGCCCTTACCACTCCTCTTTCCAGGAAGAATGGTCTGTCCTCCTG